TTTTTAAGTCTTTCTCCAACCTCGATCAAATGGCGGATAACGGAACTCCGTGACTCTTAAATCAGTTCTTTCAGTTTCTTATGATAACTGATATCTGTATATGTATTTGTTCAATTCCTTGTTCCTTCTCTTTTCTTTGCATCTCTTTTCCTCTTATCTAAAAAAATTAGGCACCGCTCTTGAAAAAAAATTTCCCCGTTTTGCCTCTAAATACGATTGCAAAAATTTACAAGCTAGATATGAAAGATTAAAATTGTTAATGAACCTAGAATTCCTAAAGATATTTACTGGTTAATTAAAGCAAATTTCTAATTATCAAGTGAGTCCTTTAATTTTTTTAATTCATATATGCATAGGACGGGTAAATGCATTTTTACAAAGAAATATTGTGCAAAAAGACTGAAAATCTATCACCGATGTGTCAGATGGACTTGTAATGCACAATCTCATTCTTTAAGAATGGTATCTATAAATCGTGAAGATAAAATACAATTCATTAAGGATAGCCTGAGTAAGGGGTCCTTAGATAATCTTCTATTGACTCTTAAGACATATCCTAGTGGAGATATGCATCGTGTAATTCATGATTTATGGCCACAATTCCATAAAGAGCATGCTCAACATAGTCTTGGGAATCTAACTAAAAAAGATCTTATTTTCTAGTTTTTAAGAAAACTGGATGGGAAGTTTATCCCCAACCTATGAGGATGTTTAAGCCATTCTTAAACGTAAAACCAAGGGAAGACGTGAGATATAATCACAACTACAATTTCAGCCTTCATTTGTAAGAACTTTGTGTCTTTAGATTTTATTATTATGTTTTGATATTTTTTATATTTGTTTAAGTGTGTTTCAGGTTTATCTGTATTTCTTGTTTCAAGTGATGTCTTATATATTTTATCTTTTTATCTTAAGATATTGAGGACAATATCTCGTTTTGGTGGGGGGGGAGGGTAGTAGTTGACTAAAAAAAACTAACTACCTAACTGCTTTTATTTTTTATAAATTGATAAAATTGTTATTACTAGGATAGCAAAGTAAGGAGAATTTCATTGATTCTTGAGACGTATCTTAGTAAATATTTTTCAATGGTTATTTACAATATTCATAACAAGGTTTATCACATACTTCTTATAAAATATTCAGGTTTATAAATTCTTGAATTATTATCAATTGATTCTGCTCATATACTCATTTAACAAGTATTCTTGAACCTTCATTTTCACACACATACGTTAACATATAATTGTAGGTTACACATTGGATTATTACATTATTTATGTTCTTTTATTAAAGGTAACAACTAAGGAAAAGAGATAGTATATAATTTACAAAAAAAAAATATTAATATTTGTAGCCTCCCTAACTTAAGTAATTAAGCCCAAATGAGTGTTTTAACACATGATAGTCTAAAATCAACTGACTTGAGAGCTATTGGCCCAGTGCTTGTTATATGGGTTAAGGAAAAAAGCTTAAGGGAATCAAATACTACATTATCTACGTATCAGTATCTGCAACCCAATCTACTAAGCTCGTAGAGATGTCTCAACACCTAAGCCCACCTAGTTTGGGAGTCATTAGTCAAAAGCTCGTTACATGGGTTAAAAATGTATTATGTTTTAAGTTGTATGTATATATATTAAAAAGAAAAAAGAAAAAAAATAATCTCAACCCAAGGAAGTTAAACTTATAAAAACATTAAAATAAAATATTGTTTTTTTTTAATAAAAGCCTCATCATCTATGTTTTCATACATTAAGCACATAAAAAAAAGGTTTATTAATATCTTGTTTCAACAGTATAAAGCAGGTATATAAATTTAATGAGAGTTTATTTATTTAGATAGATTAATGAAAGTTGAATGATAAATGTCTTGCTTCGTGGCACTTGCAAATTGTTTTTCTATTTTAATGCTTTGATTACTATAGACTAGTAATAAATTGGTTGGGGTGTAATTAGTACCTAAAAATGAATTTTTATCAAGGTTTTATATCATTATTTTGCATTTAAAGTATCATTAAATTTCATAATTTATGATAAATGCTCATTTTAAATGCAGACATATCTCATAATTCAAAAGATTGATTAATATGATTAACTATTGAAAGTGAAAGGATAAAGAAAAGGCTAAGCTTAGAAAAGAGATGCTAATTCAATTCAAACTGAAACACTGTTTAGTCATTGGATCATATTTAGAGCTATAGATCTTGGATTTCAATTTGGTTTATATGGCTAGAAAGCTAAGATATAGGCCTAAAATATTCATGAGAGTCCAACTCAATTATGTTGTTTGGAAGTCCAAATTTTAGCATTAAAATAGAAGTTTGAATCTTTCCTATAGACCAAACGTTGTTTAGTGTTTAACTCATATCTCGAGTTCTAGAAATCCAAATGCATCGATTTTTTTGATTGGAAAGCTGAGATAATTTTCCAGAACTTTCATGGACTATATATTCAAATTCTGATGTTAGCAATGACTTTTTCTATAGACAATAAGATAAGGATTGTTACCAAGTAAAGAGGTGGTCCTATACTCAATAATTAGTCATCAAATCCATAGTTTCAAATTTTAGCCTATAAAAGGAGGCATTTGCCATGCATTTAGGCATCTTGGTTTTCAGATCAAGATCGTATTCTTGTTCTTTTTCTTTATATTTTTGTAATGCTTAAGTTTTGCTTTCATTAATGTCTTGTTTATGCTTTTCATTTCCTTTCCTTTACTTAGCAAACTTATATCTTTTTTATATTATTATCTTATTTATTTATGTTTCTCTTTTTCATTATATTTAATTAAGTATATTATGTCAAGGTGAAAAGGTTTTAGTAATGGTGTAAAAATAAGTATAGTATAAACTTAACAAGGATTTTAATATTTGATAATAACATGTTTTGTATTTATTATCTTGTTCACTTTTAATACTTTTATTATTAAATGGTTAATCTAGATTTATGTTGTATAACCTTTGGTACACCAAATACTTGGTGCTTTTAAAGCCCAACCGTATAGTATAACCAGCACCTGTGCTATGAAAGGAACTTGATTTATTATTAACATAAGTTATAATTAATAATAACTGACAACATTTACAAGTATTAGCATTATTCGAATAAGATAATTAATGTAATCATATTAACAATTTATAATCCGATTGAAACCTCCTTTGTGTGTAGTTTTTAGTTGAGTAATAAAAAGAGTTTATATTATACTTGTTTGAAATACCATTAGTGGATCCTCTAACCTTGACATTTATTTTTATTATTATTTAATCATCATATTAATCTTACATCTCAAAATCTTCTTTAACTTCTTATTGTTGTTGTTGTTGTTGTTATTGTTTATAATTTATATAGTTAATCTTCCTGTAGTTTGATATCAGTCTTGTCAGGTTATTTATTACTTCGACACTCTTTTACTTAGAAGACAATATCAATCTTTTGGTTGTGTCATATTTTATATTGCAAAAACTTAGGAGATACTGATAAATCATATTTTTTTATGTTTATTTTTTTTAGAAGCTCCCCTATCGTGATATACAAGCCTAACATGCTGTTAGGCTAGTGTTTAGGCCTAATGTATCCAGGTGCACATGTGTTTAACTATACCTATACCTACCAAACCTGACTCTTGGACTTAGGGTGCTCTTGGCCCAGGTGTATTTAGGTATGGTATGTGCCAGATCATTTTCTTTAGGTCTGACAAGTGCTATTAGACCCTTCTAGGTTTAACGTGCATTGTCAATCTCAAAAGTTTGGGTATGACATGTTTTGCCCACAAGTGTTGAGCCCACGAATATTTTACCTTCGTATCTGGACATGGTCAAGCACTCCATGCCTTCCTAAGCTTGATGCTTGGCCGGATCTCCTCCATCCATAGAATTTTGAACATGGTTTAACACCTTGTCTCCATAGATGTTTATATAAATATTTAAGGGATTATTTTTTAACAAATAGACTTAATTGAAAAGTATACACTCTATCTACACTATTAGCTGCATAAAAGTTTTTATTTGTCGGCCACATTTCCATCTTTTAGTTGAAGAAATTCGTGGAAGACAAATATGTGGCTTTGGTGTCTTGGATAGACTTAGTAAAATACAACTTACAATACAAGATTAATTTATAAAAGTTAAATGACTCTTTAGCCCTCATACTCTAGCAAAACAACAAGTTTAGGGGCTAAAAATACCTTATAAATCACTCAAGTAAAAGGTTAACAATTTTCATTTTTTATTGTATATATACATTCAAAGTATCTATTTCTAAAATATTATTGTATTTTCTCTCTATAATTATATTTATTTAAGCATATAAATGTCATCTGACCTATCATAAAAGATCTTTTACAGGTACCATGGCCTCTAATATCATGCTACATCTATTTTAGTCATTCTGATAGATTGCAATGACCATTAACCAATTTATCCACCCACGAGAGCCTTGTTCCTAAGCACCTTAGAATTTTTTGATAGATTACAATGACCATTAACCAATTTATCCACCCACGAGAGCCTTGTTCTTAAGCATCTTAGGACTTTTTTAGGATATCGTGATAATGTGTGTTTGGTATGGTAGTACATAATGTTTTTTAAAGATATTTTTTGTTTAAAAATATATTAAAATAATTTATTTTTTTATTTTTAACATAAGTACGTTAAAACCATAAAAAATATTAAAAAATATTAATTTAATATTTTAAAAGTAAAACACACTCTTAAAACGCATTAATATATAGAAACTACGGGGGTTACAAATACTTTTTAGTTGATAAATAAACTAACCAATCAATTTTAGTTCTATTGGATAAAACTACTGCAATAACTTTTTGGCACCTCCAAATAATCTGAATCAGCTTGGCAAAAGAAACAGAAAATTAGAAGTTTCAAACAGTTTTTCTATAAATCAAATCGAGAGAAGCAATGGCTGGCATGAGAACATAAGCTCACATGCAAGAGCATCGCTTGGAACATTTCACCAACGACTCCATATCATCAGATACAACTTTCAAAATTATTCAATTACATTCGCATTCGTTTTGCCCTAACCCCATCAAGAGACTATGGACCAAGCTTCACTTTTCCAGAAAAAAAAGCCACCATTTTTTCTTCATATATGATTTCAATCATCACTCTTTGTAGACCCATACCTCTCAACCCTCTCGTCGATCCACTCTCTCATGTCCTTCAAGACAAGACTTGCATTTTCGTCAGGCTCGCCTTGTATCAAAGAATGGTACATGCCCTCGTAAATCTTCAAGCTCTTATCCTCACTAGAGGCTTTCTCATACAGCAACTGTGATGATGTTGGGCATGTCACCCCATCGGCGGTCCCGTGGACAGTCAAAAAGGGCACCGTAACCTTGGAGAAATTGTCCTGTATGTATTGGCAGACTCTGGCAATTTCTCTCATGGTACCCACCCTAGGCTTGCCCGTGTACCTTCTGGGGTTGGATGCTATGATCTTGAGTTTTTCTGGGTCCTTTATCGCTTTACCTACCATTTTGTTGTCTGGCATGGCGGCCCACGTGTCAGCAAATCCAAAGAGCAGGCCATACATGAATAGGTGTACCTTGCTAGGTTTCATTGGTTCCGGAATGACGAAAAGAGGGGCCGAGAAAATCAAGCCCGTCCACGTGTTAGGTTCTGATTGGAAGTACATCAGCATTGTTGCTAGTCCACCCATTGACTCGCCAAATAAGAAGGCGGGCAAGTTCTTGTATGGCTCGCTGTAGCGTACATGCTTGAAGAACGATAAGGACGCTGCAGCAACTTTCTCCATGTCACCTTTACAACAGTAGAAAACTTTCTCAGCTCTTCATTTCTATGCTGGATGGATTGAGCTAAATATATTTTCATTACAATAAAATAAAATAAAATAAAATAGATTTAATTAATGGTTACTTCATAGTCATGGAAGGAAAGAACAAGCAATAATGCCTTCTATTTGCTGGTTTTACAAGTCAAGGGTTGGGTTAGGTATTGGGAGATTGTTTAGAGAATACAATGAGTCCTAATTAACAATAATAACATTTTATTGAATTTTAAATTTTAAAACTATGCGAACGGATATTTTTTAAAATATTTTTTATTTAAAAATTAAATTTCAAGCAACATTTCAACCGCAACAACTACTTTCGTCCTTTTATTTCTGTTCCTAGCAATAGTTTCCCTGTTTTTTTTCCCCGAAACAAAATCTATTTAATTGTGATTTGCCAAGAAAATAAATATTAGCAGACACCCAAATTACATTTAATTAAACACCCCCAGAATCATGGGACCAAATTTAATTATTGTGAAATTAAGAACTATAAAGATTATGATGAAACATATTCGATTGAACATGCTGTGATTTTATCAATTGTAAGTACCATAACCTAGATAGAGACTCCCACGTACTGTGATCAGAACAAAAGGACGTGGTCGTAAACATGTACCAAATGTTGCCCAGAGCAATGGAATTCGATGCTAAAATGTTTTAGAAAGGCATTGTGTGTTTATTTTAATAATATTTGATTACCAAGGCATTATATAGTATTAGCAATTAATTAGTGAAGAGGAGAGAGCACTAATTACCCATGTAGCATCGTAAACCGTCTGATCTGCCATGCCCAAGGAGATCAGCGGCAAAAACAGCGTAACCCCAGGTAGCAAAGTTGATGCAGATCTTCTGAAACAGCCAGCCAGTATCGGATCCATAGCCGTGGGTCATATATACCGTGGCTTTGACCTTTTTATCCAACGGGAGAAAACCCTGCGTGAAGATCTTCCCATTCGGCGTTTCAAAGTGTGACTGGGTATTGGTCACTCCTTGCGATGCATAGTACTCCTCCTCCGGCATGTAGCCCCAGAAGTTGGGTGGCGCTTCGGGCTGCTGCGCTTCGGATGGCATGGTCACGCACGTCTCGTTACGGTTATCGTAAGGCTTGGATGGTTGACTTTTAAACAGAGAAAACGGTAGGGCTTTTTTACAGGAAGTAGGTGGGTGGCGTTTCGGAGTTAGATAATGGTGTTTCTGTTTAAAACTGGTTGTGGGAGGGAGGAATAACGTGTACAAAAGTCTGAGTGATTGAGTTTATAGAAAGAAAGCGGGGTTGGTAAGGGCATCCTCCTCCAAACTTTGGCTTGCTAGAGAGAGAGTCAAGCTGGTGGGGTGTTCACCAACCATTTCTTTAATTAGTGGGAAGCTGGTGGAGAGCTTAAGTCACCATTTTCTTTTGGGTCCACCATTATGAGCTGCTGATAATTATTTAAAAAAAAAAAACACAAAGTTAACTTTTGAAAAGTTTTAGAAAAATAATATAAATAGTAAACAAACTCAAGTCAGAATTATGATTTTAAATTGCAGTTACAATGTATTTATAAATGCCTTTTTTTTTTTACCATAGTTGCTGCTTATGATAGAAAAAAACCTTAGAAACCAAAAAAATCTAAGAAAAAATATCCTCTAATGGCTCGTAAAACCATTCAATCCTCCACCCAAACACTAGAATTATCTTTCTATATCCTTATAAATTTGGCAGACCGCGGGCTCAGGTTTCTATGTTCAGCCTTTGAATTACCACCTACACATCATAGAATCAAAGTAAAACATTAACATACATAAATAATCATCATTAACTTAATACTGAATTTATTGGATCAGTACTTGTAACATTTGTTCAAGATAATTTTTCTTATACTATTTTCAACATACAAGAAGAAATTAAATTTTATTATAAGTTTAAAATTTTTCAATATAAAACATGGGTTAAAAAAGAAAAGATATTTGATGAATTTTTCAAAATACATAAAAATTCATTTGAAATATTACCTAGATTGTTTATGGCTTTACAAGAATTAAACTCTAAAATAGTTGTTGAATAGAAAGATATCAGATAGCTTGAAATACTTGACCGTTTCATATTATTCTAAGCTAATTGATGTTTAAAATCAACAATACAACAACATATAATCTAACTAATTGTTAAAATTCATGATAATTGAGATAATATATAAAAATTCAAAGTAAATGAAAGGAGTGTTTGGAAATATAGTTAAAATTATATTTTGTAAAAAAGTTAATTTTTTATATTTAAAATTAATTTTTTTTATATTTTAAAATTATTTTAATGTGTTGATGTTAAAAATAATTTTTAAAAAATAAAAAATAATTATTTTAATATATTTTTAAATCATAAACGCAGTGAAAATTGAAATCTACGGATGCTAATTATTCCTCAACTTTAAGTGGTCGAATAGGAAGATAGATGATTACCATGCACCGTGTTTTTCAATCGAGGGACTGATATTGCATACGCAACCCACGTCATTACGTTCGTTTCAATGGATTTGATGGGCAATTAGAATGTCATAATATTGAAAGAACAAAAAAAAAGGACAGTGGCCACGTCACTAATGAGTCATCTGTGGATCATGGTTTTTTGTGCTTTATTTGGAGCCCGGTGTACAATATCTTACCTTCCACCCAACTTTTCATATTATTTATACTCTTTATTTTTATATTAAAAAAATAAAAAGTAATATTTTTAAATTATTATTTTGATGCATGAAATTTTTAAATAATTTTTTATGTGAGTCTGTATTATAATTCTGTTTGATATTTTCTATGCATTAAATAGCCGTATCTTTAATGTAAAATTAATTTTTATAATTATAACCATGTTTTCTTATTTACTACAGGGCATTCGATTTAGTTTTTATGATTAAAGTTAAGGTGTTTGATTTAATTTTTATAGTTAAAATTATAATTAGATATAATCTAATTATACACAAAATTCAATTATAAAAATTAATTTTTTTTTAATTTTTTTATAGGTTCTACATTTAATCATTAACCTTCACCACTAAAATAAACACACTTAATCGTTTGCTTTTATTTATATATTTAATTTTTATGTTTATTGTATTGAGCCTTGAAATCATCATATTCTAAAAGATGATATTTATTTTTAAGTTATCTATTTATTTATACAAAAAATGCCCCTTGATTTTTTTTCCTTGATACTATGATCCTTGGTTATCATGTCTTATATTATGGATACATAAATAGTTAATGTGTTATTTTATTTATTTTTTAAATAATATTTCTAATTTATTTATTTATTTATTTATTTGGAGTGGTGTACCAAGATTTACGTGCTTAAGGATGCCTTGGCAATAATCTTACGAAATGTTCCTGTGGTTTTTCATCCAGCCATTGCTCAATTAGTTATACCACATGTAGGGTGATTGCATTTGTGTGTTTAATATTTGAGATATTTGTAAATATTATCCAAGATGTTGGGTTTTTAAAGTTGCATGGTATTTTATTTTATTTATTTGAATTTCTAGATGTTTTGGTTTGTTAAACATATTAATCTTAGAGTGTTGCTTTCTTTCTTCCTATTTTTCTAAGCAAGCGAATTTAGGATAGGTTAATTTGATCTTTGTAAATCCTTCAACTTCACGAGTCTAGTAATAATTGAATCCTTATAAATTAAATTTAATAATTTTTTAAATTTATTTTATATAAGATTATGATTCAAGTTAAAGGCTTGTTAAATTAAATCAGGTTGACTCAGTTTTTTTTTTTTAAATTATTTTTTAAAATTTTTTATCATTCAATATTGGATTAATCGACAATTAAGCTTTATAATTTTTTTATTGGGCTATCTCAATCTCATTATCCAATTTTAGCAAGTTAATCCCGGATAATTCGGTATTTTCTATTTTTTAATTGATTTTTTTAATTTTATTTTTCAACACTGGGTTAATTGATAATTGAGTTATAATATATTTTTTTGTTTTATTTTTATAAGGTTATCACATTCTCATAATCCGGGTCACGAATTATATATGTTAACTTGAGTTAATTTAGGTTAATTTAATATATTATCATCTAAATATTTTTTTAATAAGATATTTTAATTTTTTTAAGTTAAATCATGTTTTTTTTCTTCTAATTGTCCAGGTTATCTTTGAAATTACTAAGTTAATTAGATCATATTAAATTAATCTTTATATAATATAATTAAAAAAAAACACTTTATCTATACTTTTATACTATCTTACTCATAACATACCATAGATAAATGATCTAGAGTGCATTTATTTAGTCTTAGCTTTTGCATTTACGGTGATGTAAAAAACATAGTTAGGTATTTGATAATATACCAAACTGTGTTTTATATTATGAGGTCCGATAATATACCAAACTGTGTTTTATATTGTGAGGTCCGTTAAAAAATTAAGTTTGAAACACAATTTTTGTGAAACAGTTTTTTCATTTTTTTTAATTGAGTTTCGTAAAACTCTGTTTGTTTTTGCATTTCAAAAGTATTTTTTTTCAAGTTTAAAATTTTTGAATTTTTTTCTTTACTTTAATTTTTTTTGTATTTTTATATTATTTTAATGCACTTATATCAAAAAACAATTTTTAAAAAATAAAACAAATTTTTTTTGATGCATTTCTAAATAAAAATATTTTTGTAAAATAATTATAATAAAATATTTTATACATGTTTTTTTGCTATATATAAATCTTAACTATAATTTATACCAAATATACATCTAAATCCAACTAATTATACCTAATTATATTTTTTTTAACTTATAATTTTAAATTACAATCACAACCATAAAATCTATACTAATCCATATACATGTAACTAGCGTTCGATGAACAAAGAAGTTATAGCGTGGGAAGCCACCTGGTTTGACTTTAAAGAATAGAGTGCAAAGAATCTTAAATTCTGAACAGGGAAGTAGAAATACCTTGCAAGAGACAAGCACCCCCGCCTAATCACGCCGTTGATGATGAGAGAAATGTGAAGAGGAGGTTCATCATTAGATCAATTGACTTTTCTAGAAAGGACACAAAGGTCATTCGGCAATCTACGAGTGATCCACGGATGAGACCTTTAACAAGACATTGTAAGAACAAAATGGTTACTCAGTTATAGAATTTACTTCTTAATGATAACAAGTTTTAGTTATCTCATGTTATTAAAAATTTATATAATTATTAATTTTAATATTTATAAAATTAATTAATATGCACATACGCTAACCTAAAGATTCATGTTAATTAAATAATAATAATAATACGGTTCCACGCATCATTATGCATGGGCTATCATTTTCAATATATGTAAAAGAATACACTCAAATTAATTAACATAAACAACAAATAAAATAAAATAAAAATCCAGTAGAAAATATCACAACCACGCAACCCATAGAAGATTGGAGTGGGTGAAACTGTAATTAATAAGGATGACAATGATTATTCATTAGTTGATTTATTATATATTTATATTTTATTTATTACTCATTGCATAAATAATTTCAGTATTTATATCTTTTTCATTAGATTTAAATAAAAATATTTTATATTACTATTTATTATTTAATATAAAATAAAAATCAGTATTGTATATGGATGCATTTCTATGAATATATGTGAATGCGATGTTAATATTGGAGTATGCATATATTATATTTAAAAATTATGAAGATTCTATATATACATAAATACATACTTATATAATACTAATGTGTATATCTCAAATCAAGTATAATGATATTTATAATATATTTATTATTTATAAGATGAAACAAATATAAAAAAATAAATGTATACGTTTAAATTGTTTGGGTAAATAAGTATTATCCTGAGGCTAAATTGACATCCATGGTAATAAAAGATAATGGAGCGTGGCATCTCTCTCACGTATCGCTTTCATGCCATATACGGAAGCCCTCAAGGACATTTATATGGGCTTGATTTCGGGCTTTTAGCCTGTTGTCCCAGTCCTGCATAGCTAGGCCCGGCCCGGCCACAAATGTAAATTCGAGCAGTTTTTTTTTTTTTTAATTATTATATTTCCAATTTTTCTCATTTGATTTAGCATCACCGCCGAGCCTCAAGGGCACGCCATTTCTCTAGTGACACGAAATGGGGAGACGTTGGTGGATGAAATGGTACAGCTGGGTGATACTGGTGGCTCACGTGTTTGCAATACTGATATTCACTAGAGGATTCTTGCTTACTCGAACAGAACTTCCATATTACAGCCACGGCAGCGACATATCTCAATCTCCCTGCTTCTCCTCTACCAGCACTAATCACAGTTGGAATAAACCAGTTGTGGATCGCCTTGTCATCATTGTTCTCGATGCAATCAGGTTCTTCATCTCAGTTATCAACCATTTCTTATTTATTTACTTCATTTATTTGATTATTGTTATTTATTTTTTTTATTTGTATTTTCAGGTTTGATTTCGTTGCTCCTAGCGTATTTTTTCAAGGTTAGAGGAGCTATACTCATTCCTGTTCAAGGTTTTTAATTAATTAAATCTATATTATCTTTGTGTTGATTTGTTGTTGTTGTTATAGAAAAGAAGGCATGGATGGACAAATTATCAGTGCTGCAAAAGATGGCATTTGCTGAAGGATCGTCTGCCAAGATTTTCAAAGCAATTGCTGATCCTCCTACCACTAGCCTCCAGCGTTTGAAGGTCTGCTTTTATTTTATTTTTATAATTTTTGAATTGCAATGCATCCTCCTTTATGTATTTATTGTGATGTAATTGTAATGTTTTAGGGTTTGACAACGGGTGGATTGCCGACTTTTATAGATGTTGGAAATAGCTTTGGTGCTCCTGCCATTGTTGAAGATAACTTTATACATCAGGTTATTTATTTATTTTATTGCCTTCTACAACAACAGTTTAATTGCCATGTTTGTTGTTATTGACCTGGTTGGTCTCACTGGCAGCTGGTTGAAAACGGGAAGCGAGTAGTGATGATGGGTGATGATGCATGGATCCAGTTGTTTCCTCATCATTTTAATAATTCTCATCCTTTCCCGTCTTTTAATGTTAAGGATCTTCATACGGTATGCAATTTTTAACAATTTGCCTCACTTTTCTCATTTCCAAGAGACTTCATGATTAATACTTCTCTATACATTGACAACCTTTGTGAAAATTTAAATCTTCTAGGTAGATAATGGATGCATCGAACACCTATTTCCTGCCCTATATCAAGACGACTGGGATGTTCTTATTGCGCATTTTCTTGGCGTGGTGAGATTCAAAATGCTTTATTTCTGCAAATGACTAATATATCTGGTCTGTTATTGAATTTATGTGTGCTATGAGACATACATTGTTATCAGCTTATGTTCCAAATATATTATGAAATTCAAAAGAGGGTTCTGGTTCGAGTTATGTACAATTGAACTTTGAAAAGGGCACCATCCTAACCAACCCCCCCCCCCCCACAACCACACAAAAAAAAAATT